CCCTTTCTTTTACATACCCCACAAAAAGAAGTCTAACGGAGTCAGATCTGGTGAGCGAGGTGGCCAAGCGTGTGGTCCTAGTCTGCCGATCCAGCGATCATCAAATAACTCATTGAGGCGCTCACGGACGAACCTCACGAAATGTGGAGGGGCACCATCATGTTGGAACCATGTGCGGCGATATTCAGCCAACGATAGGTCGTTTAAAATGTCAACCAACTGTTCATTTATAAAGTTTAGGTATCGCTGTCCGTTCAGTCGCTCTGTCAGAAACACTGGTCCCAGTATGCGATCCTTAAATAAACCTGCCCATACGTTAACCGACCATCGGGTTTGGTGCCCGGTTTGTCGAACAGCGTGCGGGTTAACCTCTGAATACACGTGTGTATTTCTTCGGTTCCACAGGCCGTTTCTGGTAAATGTCGACTCATCCGTCCAGATAATGTGCTCAATCGAACCAGGCACACGTTGTTGCTGGTATAATAACCAACGGCAGAAAACTCGTCGGCGGTCGTGATCGCCGGGAACTAAAGCTTGCACTTTGTGCAATTTGTATGGGCGCATTGGTTACGCTTCAACACTTTGTGCACTGTACAGTATGACACACTTGTACGATCCCGACGTCTTAACAATTTATTTAGCGATACTTCGTGTACCTAGGTTCGGATACCTAACATGTTGACCACTATAAACGTACGCGTTAGGCATTATTAAAACAAAAAAGAATCCAAAAACGTAACAAAAACTTTAATATCAACACGTAATCACAAGTAAATTTATTAAACAAAACGATTGAACTGTCGCTCGCGCACGCGTGTACAAAATCAACACGGAACTGTTTCAAAAACTACAATTAATAACGAACCCCGACGAATAAACGGAAACCTACTGCGTCACAGCGTGACGACACGAGCCGGCCGGGTTACATTCTGCGAGGCGACATGAGCCGGCCGGGTTACATTCTGCCGTCATACGAAATAAAGAAGTACGCAACTAACAAAAACGTAAAATGGAAATAAAAAATAAATTTATGAATTTTTCTTTCAGACCCCGTGTCTAAAGTATATTAAAAGGTATCTATATGAAAATTGAAATATGTACGTAGAGACATGAAGATTTTAAGGACGAACTTATTTTTTGATAATTTGTTTATTTATTTAAATAAAACGAATTTTCCTTTTCATCTTAGATTAAAAAATACACCTGGCAACACAAAAACATCGAAGGAAAGACGCATATAACTATTTGCGTCTTCCCAACCTAATAAATAAAAAAAACTGCCATTCATTTAACATTTTTACATATTTTGGAAAGGTCATTTGAAGTTGAAAGGACGCTAATAGTAATTTACTACTTTTTTCTTAGTAAATATTAGAAAAGCATTGGTAGTCAGACACAAAAAATAACAACCCGCAACTCTTGAGTAATGATTTTAAAGGGGATATCATACAAGACTTACTACGATAATAATTAAAAATTTTGTACAACCGACTTTAATATAAATAATTAAGGATGACTCAAAAACTATTGGTCTGACCTCGATCAAATTTATATGGGACCACATGTGAAACACCAGCTCTTAGTAATAAGATATAAGCTCTTAATAATAAGATATAGAATAAAAAGACAAGAATAATTGAAATTTAAGTAATCGATGCAAATATTGTTAAAGATGACGTAGCCACTGGTTAAATAAGTCTTTTCTTTTATGTTGAAGTCTTTTCTAATAAAAAGATGTCATCTGTGATCAACAGTTACGTCTAAAATCCTTACGATAATTTCTAAAATATTGATATTTGTGAATATTAAAAAAATTTAGTAGATGCGCCTTCTTATCATGAGTCATGGTATATTTAACTCATTTATTCAAAAATTGTTAGATGCGCCCTTTTTTCTTCCGACCGCATACCATTGTTTCGTACCGAGCTAGATACAGGTCGACAGCGGAGGAAGTGTGGGTACAGTCGCGTTCTAAAGTACTACATGGTATTGGGCTATTGTTTTATAATATTATAGTAATTAATTGTTTAATTGTGGAATCATAATAGGTGTTTTACTATTTACTTAGAACTTTGGAAGAGGTGGGAATTAAAAATGGATAATGTTTACTTGAGCATTATTTGTTATTTCTATCGTAAAATATAAAGTAGTTTGTAACAAAAAAAACTTAAGGGTGACACGCCGTCCATTATGACGTCTTGGTTCACATGAAAGTCAGATGTTGATGGTGTGTTGGTATTACTGGATGCTACTTCATCATCACTTTCATCTTCGCTTGAGCTTCCGTCATCAGGTCGATCACATGGTAATTTTTTCGGTATTCTCCCTCAACACTTTACTGCACAATTTTCCCCATTCACCTTCTCATATCATATTTACCTTTTCGTTCACTAGTTTAGTCATAAAACAATAGATATAAATAATTTTTGTTTCCTTCCTTTTTAAAACATCGTCGCGAGTCGCAAAGTAAGCTGTGTATGCGACTGTATTTTTGGAGCGAACAAAGCGCGTGAACCAATAGCATGCAGGCACAGTAATACTGGCGGATTGATCCCCCGTCGCACCCCCCTCGTACCTATATGTGATAAATCGCTCAATGCCCAAGTTCAAGGCCAGCGTTCTTTTTTCACCGTTCGCGCGTACATTAACCTCCATTAGTCAGGTGATATCAATTCAGTTTCCACTGCTGGTTTTATGTTTCAGTATTTTCATGATTTTTTTTATGAAATTATCGATTCATTTAGCTGTACTAACATGATGGCGCGTGAATAAAGCTAATAAAACGTTGTAAAAATATGATTTTTTTTTCATCAGGATCAAATTTATTTGTGACCCATGATCAAAGGTATACTTGGTGCTGTCGCCTGTCTTAGTTTTCGGGAGCGTTCCAAAAATACCCTGTATAGTACGACAGTATATTCTAAGTCTATGATACAATGCCTACATATATCGACGCGTCTAAAAATCGGTTGGATCGAGAGTAAGCAAGGGGTTGCGTTACTCTGACTGAGCATCACATCGATAGTGGCGAGGTGAATTGAGGGTATATCGAGAAACCCCCCACGCGTTTGTGCAGTATAAAATTTTAATTAAAAGATTAAAATTATTAAGTTCACTGCGCTAAGATAGTATCGTAATTCTGCCTGTAGTGGTGATTCTTCTGGCGCAGGCGAGGAATACGGTGTTGCTGAGCCTATTCTGTGTTACATTCAGATGTTGTTACTGTTGATTTGCATACTTTGGTGTTATCATGTAATTATGTCCTTCACGTACTGAATGTATAGTACATTACGCTGTTTTATTGCAGATAATGATTAATTGCGTAAGCAAGAGAGCAAGATGAACATTCGCTCTCACACTTAAAATATTTTTAACAACTAACCTTATCCTGATGTATTTGTGAGATCAGAAATGGGATCTTGTGATGAAGTTCCGACATATATGTTACGGCTAAAAGCGGAAATTCGGTTACACTGAGGTTTAGCTGGCTACAGTTATAGACTAGGAGATGGTGACAGAAAATAGTCTCCCATTTTCTCCTGCATGCCTTTTTAAGAATTGATAACTAACCCTAAAATATGAAAGAAAACTTATGAAACTTTCATTATTAATAAAAATACGATGGTGTTATTTAATACGCATGCCATTTTCGATATATACTTAAAATAATATGTTTTTATGAAATGCAAAACGGCATGCAAATAAAAAACGCAGAAATGTTTATTAAATTTTTTGCAACTTTTGTTATTATTTATAATATAATGATCATGTGCAACATGCATGCCATTTGTATTTCAGAATTATTTGATCATAAAATTAATATTTATCTTTATTAGAAGTAGTTTGAAATCACGGAAAAGTTGTATTGAATTTTCACAATATTTTCCTAATATTTTCCACCCTTGGTCATACGAGGGGTGCATGCCCATTTTCGTAGAGTATTTTAGAGATAAAAAAAAACTAATTTTTTACAACGGCATGCAATTTGTACACACGGAAATGTTCTATTTTTATTTTTCATTTCTACGTAATCCTTTGAGTCCCGTCGGCCGTTGCGAATAGCATGCCATGATTTATTAGGTATAGCTTAATTTTTTTTTCAACTACGTTATATTACAAAGGCATGCAATGTAATGTCACGGAAAAATACTAAAATTCTTTACACAAAGAGAAGTCATTTTCTTTATGACGTGCAAGCGCGCAAGGGCTAGTAACCCCTCTATCTTTCATATTTTAGGGTTAGTTACCAATTCTTAAAAAGGCATGCAGGAGAAAATGGGAGACTATTTTCTGTCACCATCTCCTAGTCTATTAGGTGCAGCCGATTGCGGTTGATTAAACTTAGGTGTACTAGACTTATTCATAACTAAAATTAGCTGTTGCCGGTTGCTTTTGAGTAAAACTAGATATTTTTGTGATTTGCATAAACACTTGTACTAGTTTCACAAAATTTATTTTAAATTATTAATATACTAACTATAAAAACAGACCGATTTCGTCTCACGGCATCGTCAGGGAAAAACTAGTTATTGTAAAAAATAATAATTAATAAAAATTAAATGAACCGTGTAGTGGCGGTGTAAGAATATCCACTGCCCATATCGTCCCGTGGGTGTCGTAAGAGGCGACGGAGGAAGATAAACCAGGAGGCAGGCAGCAGCGTCTTCCTAATAACAACTAAAATTAAATTTGGGGGACCATGAGCAAACCATGCGGGAAGCCTGTGTCCAGCAGAGAACTTTTAGAGTCAGTAACGGTAACATATATATACGTCGTACGTATATAAACGTCGAAAATGTAAATACATGAATGTCTGGTCTGTTTCCACTAACCTCCCATTTCGTTCATATTTTAAAGTATTGTTATATATTTGATTCTGAATTAGCTTCTCTAGAATAAATGCAGTTTCAATTAGCACATAAGGGCAGGCACATTAGGCACAGATGAGTTTTTCTACTCGTTCTATAATTTCATAAGAAATTCATAAAAAATAGATTTTTATATGGTACACTTTTATATTTACATAATATGCACACATTTTACCAGATGTTTCACGAAAAAGGTTTTTCTCTAGTGTGTATCTTCATATGATTATTCAAACTACTTTTTCTTACACATCTAAATTCACAGATACGACACGAATAAGGTTTTTCTCCGGTATGTATTTTTATATGTGATTGCAAATCACCTTTTCTAATACTTTTATATCCACAGATATTACACGAAAAAGGTTTTCCTTCGGTATGTAACTTCATATGTGTTTGCAAATTACTTTTTTGAATACATTGATATTTACAGATATGACACGAAAAAGGTTTTTCTCCAGTATGTATTTTCAAATGTGATTGCATATCACCTTTTCTAATACTTTTATATTCACAGATATTACACGAAAAAGGTTTTTCTCCGGTATGTAATTTCAGATGTGTTTGCAAATTACATTTTCGAATACATTTATATTCACAAATATTACACGCAAAAGGTTTTTTTCCAGTATGTATTTTCATATGTAATTGCAAATCACCTTTTCTAATACTTTCATATTCGCAGATATTACACGAAAAAGGTTTTTCTCCGGTATGTAATTTCATATGTGTTTGCAAATTACCTTTTTGAATGCATTTATATTCACAGATATTACACGAAAAAGGTTTTTCTCTGGTATGTATTTTCATATGTGTTTGCAATTTACTTTTTTGAATACATTTATATTCACAGATATTACACGAAAAAGGTTTTTCTCCGGTATGTATTTTCATATGTGTTTGCAAAGTACATTTGTAAATACATTTATATTCACAGATATTACACGAAAAAGGTTTTTCTCCGGTATGGATTTTCATATGCTTTTGCAAATTACTTCTCTTTATACATTTATATTCACATATATTACACGAAAAAGGTTTTTCTCCGGTATGTATTTTCATATGTGTTTGCAAAGTACATTTGTTAATACATTTATATTCACAGATATTACACGAAAAAGGTTTTTCTCCGGTATGTATTTTCATATGTGTTTGCAAATTACTTTTTTGAATACATTTATATTCACAGATATTACACGAAAAAGGTTTTCCTTCGGTATGTAACTTCATATGTGTTTGCAAATTACTTTTTTGAATACATTTATATTCACAGACATTACATGAAAAAGGTTTTTCTCCAGTATGTATTTTCATATGTGATTGCAAATTACCTTTTTGAATACATTGATATTTACAGATATGACACGAAAAAGGTTTTTCTCCAGTATGTATTTTCAAATGTGATTGCATATCACCTTTTCTAATACTTTTATATTCACAGATATTACACGAAAAAGGTTTTTCTCCGGTATGTAATTTCAGATGTGTTTGCAAATTACATTTTCGAATACATTTATATTCACAAATATTACACGCAAAAGGTTTTTTTCCAGTATGTATTTTCATATGTAATTGCAAATCACCTTTTCTAATACTTTCATATTCGCAGATATTACACGAAAAAGGTTTTTCTCCGGTATGTAATTTCATATGTGTTTGCAAATTACCTTTTTGAATGCATTTATATTCACAGATATTACACGAAAAAGGTTTTTCTCTGGTATGTATTTTCATATGTGTTTGCAATTTACTTTTTTGAATACATTTATATTCACAGATATTACACGAAAAAGGTTTTTCTCCGGTATGTATTTTCATATGTGTTTGCAAAGTACATTTGTAAATACATTTATATTCACAGATATTACACGAAAAAGGTTTTTCTCCGGTATGGATTTTCATATGCTTTTGCAAATTACTTCTCTTTATACATTTATATTCACATATATTACACGAAAAAGGTTTTTCTCCGGTATGTATTTTCATATGTGTTTGCAAAGTACATTTGTTAATACATTTATATTCACAGATATTACACGAAAAAGGTTTTTCTCCGGTATGTATTTTCATATGTGTTTGCAAATTACTTTTTTGAATACATTTATATTCACAGATATTACACGAAAAAGGTTTTCCTTCGGTATGTAACTTCATATGTGTTTGCAAATTACTTTTTTGAATACATTTATATTCACAGACATTACATGAAAAAGGTTTTTCTCCAGTATGTATTTTCATATGTGATTGCAAATTACCTTTTTGAATACATTGATATTTACAGATATGACACGAAAAAGGTTTTTCTCCAGTATGTATTTTCATATGTAATTGCAAATCACCTTTTCTAATACTTTCATATTCGCAGATATTACACGAAAAAGGTTTTTCTCCGGTATGTAATTTCATATGTGTTTGCAAATTACCTTTTTGAATACATTTATATTCACAGATATTACACGAAAAAGGTTTTTCTCTGGTATGTATTTTCATATGTGTTTGCAATTTACTTTTTTGAATACATTTATATTCACAGATATTACACGAAAAAGGTTTTTCTCCTGTATGTATTTTCATATGTGTTTGCAAAGTACATTTGTAAATACATTTATATTCACAGATATTACACGAAAAAGGTTTTTCTCCGGTATGGATTTTCATATGCTTTTGCAAATTACTTCTCTTTATACATTTATATTCACATATATTACACGAAAAAGGTTTTTCTCCGGTATGTATTTTCATATGTGTTTGCAAAGTACATTTGTTAATACATTTATATTCACAGATATTACACGAAAAAGGTTTTTCTCCGGTATGTATTTTCATATGTGTTTGCAAATTACTTTTTTGAATACATTTATATTCACAGACATTACACGAAAAAGGTTTTTCTCCAGTATGTATTTTCATATGGTATATCAAACTTTTTTTATTTGTACATTTATAATCACAATTATTACAACAGAACATTTGTTTAGCAACGTGCGCTTTATAATGTGCCAAAATATTACGTTTACGAGATGTTTTAAATTCGCAAATATCACAATTAAATATTTCCGTTAGTTGTGCTACTGGAGTTTGTTCAACTTGTGTACGAATCGCAGTGATGTCTGAGTTCTTTTGCGTCTTATGACTGCGTGAAATGAGTTTGGCGAGAATGTCTTTTGTTGATGCCCCTGATGATTTTTTCGTAAGTATATTTACACTCTTTTGTTTCAAAATTTTCTTTTTCATAATCTTTGCAGGATGGTTTCCTTTATTAATAACTGGTTGATTATCTTTTTTCAGGTTTTCTTTACGAACATCGTTTATGTTACAATTAATAGAATTTGATTCATTTGTTTGTATGGGGCGTTGTTCTGAAATACACACAAATTAAACATAATTAAATTATAAAATGGAAATGAAAAGGAAAGTATACAATACATGGATATTACCAATCCTTACTTATTGGTGCCAGACCTGGGCACACAAAAACAAAACCATAAACTGATTACATGCCAAAGAGCCATGGAGAGGAGTATACTGGGTTACACAAAAAGAGATAGAAAGAGAGCTGTAGATCTAAGACAAATTACCAAAATTGAAGATGTAGTAGTTAAAACTAGAAAGCTCAAATGGAGGTGGGCAGGCCACATGATGGAGAGAGAATAGAAATAAATGGACGAAAGATATAACAGAATGGACCCCTAGATATCAAACAAAAAGGAAACGTGGAAGACAAAGAAAACGTTGGTCTGATGACTTAAAAAAGCATGCGGGTCCAATATGGCACAGAACAGCTAAAACAAGAGCAGAATGGAGAAAGCTGGAGGAGGCCTCCGTGTCGCAAAGACACGCCGACGCGACGCCCGATAACAATGAGATACTTACCTAATAATATAATATCAACTAAACTTACATACATAGTGATATTAATAATGTATAATAGTAATTCAATAATGTTAATGTTAACAATGAATTTAATGTTAAGGTCAATTTTACTTTTAAAGTTATATATTTTGATTTGCATGTTTAATTTTTAACTATGAAATGATAAATTATGTATATTGTGTTGGCAATAAAGGCTTATAAATAAATAAATAAAAAAAATCTTTATTGTATGACACATTAGACAGTTACTATCGGCGGAGCATATGCCTTATGGCATTCTCTATTAATCAACCCAGAGAGAAATAGAGAAATTTTAATATTTTACATAACTATACTTTTAAATATTGCCAGAAATAAAGTATTTTAGCCAATTACTCTGGATAATGTCTCTCATATTCAATTTTGGGGGTAAGAATGGTAAGTAAACTAAATTCGAATGATACTCATTTATTTCGCGACAGGCAACATTGTCAGAGGTGCTCAAATCTCGTTCTGTGATCCTCAATCCTTTTTTTTATAGAATAAGAGTGACAAGTGAGCATACAGTCCACCTGATGGTAAGTGGTTGCAGTGGCCCATAGACATCTACATCTATCTTCGGTTACGAATCAAAATGCAGATGCGTTGTCACCCGTGAGGACTAAGATTGAATGCCTCGATTCTAGTAAAAGGGGTCTCCGGTTCTCTACACTCACCATACGAAATACAGCAGCATTAGGCTGTTATTTTACGCTGGTAATCTGTGAAAGCGTAGTTCTTCCCTGGTCGAGCCAACCCATCTGTGCTACAACTATACTACTAATATAGCTACACCATGTCTCTACCACATATAATCCTATGCCAAGCGTGAATATTATGGCAAATTTACCCTACATCGGGAGAGATTCATCCATGTTCAGCAGTGGCAGTTTATGGGACGATTAAGATGGAGCCATTAAAAAACAACACCAAAAACGCCCTGGCAGCTCAGGGTCTAGGTGTTTGCTGTAAAAACATCACAGTACTGCTCGCGTACTGTACCCAGGTTCAATTTCCGCTGGCACTCATAATATTGTTGATTGAGCATTCTTTTTTTCACTAACATTATTTCTGTTGTGCGTGCGTTTGGACCAGCAGTGCTATTGTGGAAAATTAAATATGATGGGAATCATGGTTAGCACAGTTTTAATTTTCGATGTTTAATGTCGCTATACTGATTATGTAAATATATCAGTATAGATTATAGTGCCGTGTAGTGGCGGTCAAGAATATCCACTACCCCATATCCTCCCGTGGGTGTCGTAAAAGGCGACAAAGGGAAACAGGCAGGAGATGGGCAGCAGCATCTTCTTGATAACAACAAACTAACAATAAAAAAAAACTGCGGTTGCCAACCCGCTCGCCAACCGTGGCAACTATGGCAAATACCCCCCTATGAATGACAGTAACAAAGAAACGGCCCCCAGTCCCCGGCGGCCCTGCTATTCCTGGCTACGGTGGCGACCATGGTAACGGCGGGGCAGGGGGTGCTAAGAATCTCCGGTGGAGGTTCGGTTGCCACCTTAGACGACTCGACCTGGCAACGTACAACGCACGCACCCTGAGGACTGACGAGAAGATCGTGGAGCTGGAAGAAGAGATAGACAAGTTGCGCTGGCATATTATAGGATTATTCGAAGTCCGAAGAGAGGGGGAGGACACGGTAATCCTCAAATCCGGCAACTTGCTCTATCACCGGGAGGGCGACCATCTGTCCCAAGGAGGTGTCGGATTTATCGTCCACAAGTCTCTCGTTAACAACGTTGTAAAGATCGGAAGTGTGTCGACGAGGGTTGCGTACCTTATACTCAGAATCACCAAACGGTATTCGCTGAAGGTCATACAGGTTTACGCACCAACCTCGGCACACCCCGATGAGGAGGTGGAGGAAATGTATGAGGATATCTCTAGAGCCATGCATTCCTCCAAAACCCAATATACGGTGTTAATGGGAGACTTTAATGCAAAACTAGACACAAGAGAGAACGGTGAGCTGAAAGTAGGGAAATTTGGAATAGGGCAACGGAACCCAAGGGGCCAGCAGTTGGCCGACTTCATGGAGAAAGAGGGACTCTTTATGATGAACTCTTTCTTCCAGAAGCGGCCCCACAGGAAGTGGACCTGGTCGAGCCCCGACGGTTCGACAAAAAATGAGATTGACTTCATTATGACGACCAGACGACAACTGTTCAGTGATGTCTCCGTGATCGCGAGGGTGAAAACTGGTAGCGATCACCGCATGGTTAGAGGCACACTGAACCTAAACGTTAAGTTGGAGAGGTCTCGTCTAATGAAGTCAACGCTCCGTCCTCCTCGTGCTCTAATCCAAAGTCCCGAAACCTTTCAGCTCGAGTTACAAAACCGTTTTCAGTGCCTAGAAGACTGCAATGAAGTGGACGATATGAATGACAAGCTCGTGGAAACTGTCCATGCGGTCGGAGCTAAGTTCTGCAAGACCCGCCGCAGAAGAACACAAAAACTCTCCGATCACAATCTCATGGCTGTTAGACGGGAGATGAAGCTACATTCTTCAACAGACTTGACAGCATACAGGCATCTGAACAGACAGATCTCCAAATGCATGCGGCGGGACTAACGCAACTTCAATACAGCTCGTATTGAAGAAGCTATCGAGCGGAACCAAGGCTCCAAAGTCTTTGCCAGAGATCTGTCTGCCAGAAAGAGCCAACTGTCAAAGCTGAAGACAGAATGTGGCAGCATCGTTTCCGGGACACCTGAGATTTTGAGTGAGATTGAGAGGTTCTATGGGCAGTTATACACGTCATCGTTGGAGCCACACGCAAGTGTGAGTAACGATCCAAGAGCGAGTCTCATCCGACACTATTCCGAAGATATCCCGGACGTCAGTCTGAGCGAGATTAGAATGGCTCTCCAGCACCTTAAAAACGGCAAGGCCCCAGGCGAGGATGGAATTACAGCGGAGCTTCTGAAAGCGGGTGGAAAACCGGTACTTGAAGTCCTTCAGAAGCTCTTTGATTCCGTCCTCCATGGTGGCATTACACCGGAGGCGTGGAGCAGAAGTGCGGTGGTCTTGTTCTGCAAGAAAGGCGACAACGCTCTCTTGAAGAACTACAGACCGATATCCCTTCTGAGCCGCGTCTACGTGCTGTTTTCGAGAGTCATTACGAATCGTCTCGCGCGCAGACTTGACGACTTCCAGCCTCCCGAACAAGCCAGTTTCCGAAAAGGCTTTAGCACCATAGACCACATACATACCCTTCGGCAAATTGTACAGAAGTCCGAGGAGTACAATTTGCCACTATGTCTGGCGTATGTGGACTATGAGAAAGCCTTTGATTCCGTCGAAATTTGGGCGGTGCTGCAGTCCCTTCAGCGATGCCAAGTTGACTGTCGGTATATCGAAGTGTTGAAGTGCTTGTACAGTAGGGCTACGATGGCTATCCGAGTACAGAACCAGAGTACGAAACCTATCCAATTGCAGAGAGGTGTAAGACAGGGTGACGTCATATCCCCGAAACTCTTCACCGCTGCATTGGAAGACGTTTTCAAGCTTCTGGACTGGAAAGGATACGGTATCAACATCAATGGCGAGTACATCACTCACCTTCGATTTGCCGACGATATAGTCCTTATGGCAGAATCGCTGGAGGACCTAAGCACTATGCTCAATGACCTCAATAGTGTTTCCCAACGGATAGGTCTTAAGATGAACATGGACAAAACTAAGATCATGTTTAATGTCCATGTCACACCTATGCCGGTAGTTGTTGGGAACACTAAGCTCGAAGTTGTTGACGAGTATGTTTACCTGGGACAAATAGTCCGACTAGGTAAGTCCAACTTCGACCGAGAGGTCAATCGACGGATTCAACTCGGTTGGGCAGCGTTGGGGAAATTACGGCACATCTTCTCGTCAGGTATACCTCAAACCTTGAAAACGAGACTGTACACCCAGTGCGTGTTGCCAGTGATGACATACGGAACTGAGACGTGGTCCTTCACTGCTAGCCGGATGAGGAAGCTCAAGGTCGCTCAGCGAGCTATGGAGAGGGCTATGCTCGGAGTTTCTCTGCGTGATAAACTTAGGAATGAGGATATCCGCAGTAGAACCAGAGTAACCGACATAGCCCAACGGATTAGTAAGCTGAAGTGGCAATGGGCCGGCCATATAGCTCGAAGAACCGACAACCGATAGGGAAGAAAGGTTCTCGAGTGGCAGCCTCGTACCGGTAGGCGAAGTGTAGGGCGTCCCCCCACGAGATGGAGTGACGACCTGGTAAGAAATGCAGGAAGTTGATGGATGCAGGTGGCTCAGGACCGTGCTTTGTGGCATTCTTTGGGGGAGGCCTATGTTCAGCAGTGGACTTGTGAAGGGCTGTAATGATGATGAATGATGAGATTATAAGCCAACGACATTTTTATATATATTGTTGGGAATGAGAGTAAAAAAATAAAAGGAAATTCGACCAAATGAAGGTTGAATGATTATCTCCCACTTGTTTTAGCAGTATAAATTATCGCGCAGGCAACTAAGAGGCATCAGTCGGTAATTCTAAGAGTTTCACTGTCGTTACTATGCCTGTTGGGGTATTCTACTAGTGTGGGCAAGGAAGGTCGTGATGCTGAGTGGTGTTTCATTGAGATTGGTAGTGATGCTGTTGGTTTGCATACTTTAGTGTTATCATGTAATTGGGGTCCTGATAGTAAGCAGGGTTTGTTACTGAGTAGTTCTTTTATTTAAATACTTTTGACAATAATTTCTAACATCAGAAGTGGAATAATTTGTTACAATATAGTATTTTACAGACTATGACTAACGGGCACACAGTCCACCTAATTGTAAGTGGATGCTGTAACCAAAGACGTCTACATCCTATTAAGAATCAAAATATAGATGCAGAGTCTAACGAAGCTCATTATAATGTCCATGCTTAATATGCTTATCTTTTAAAATAGTTATTTAATTCGTATTTTTCTTATTCCATAAGAGTGCTTTTTACATGCACTTTGAATTTAGGCAAAGGCAAATCAGTAAATCCAGTACCTTGCATATGAAGCCCTCTTATTTTGTGTCCATGGGCTACAGTAACAAATTGCTTGCCACTTTACCATTAGGTAAACTGTACTTATTTTAACCATATCACAAAATGTGTATATCCTTACCTGTTTCATGATTCCCATTTTCTTCAAATTTGGAATTCTCATCTTCAATATTCTCTTCCTCAACTTTAACAGATTCAAGGCTAAAAATTTCGTCATTACGATCATTTTCAGTGTCACACTCAACTGGCCTGATATCTATGTGACAAATTGGTGTGAATTGAATCTCATATCTAGGCTCATGCGGTTTTGGTATCGACTGAAACCAAATTCTTTTTTTAAATAAGAAAAAAAAAATCAGTGTATTGGTGGCGTAGTGGAATACATACTACCACATACCATCCTACAGATGTCGTAAGGGACAGAGGGAAACTGAAACAGAAGTAGGGCAGCAGCATCTTACTGACAACAACTCGGGTCAATATAAGTTGCGGTTGCCAATCAAATTTGTCAAAATCCCTCCTATGGAGCAATCAAAAAAAAAATCCTCATGTGGTAGAGCCATGCTGCAGCTATATTAGTAGTATATTTGTAGCACGAATGGGTCGGCTCGACCGGGGAAGGACCACTCTCTCACAGAATACCAGCGTCAAATAGCAGCTTAACACTGCTGTGTTTCGTATGGTGAGTGTAGAGAACCGGAGACCCTTTTTACTGGAAACGAGGCATTCCATCTTAGTCCTCATGGGTGACAACGCATCTGCATTTTGATTCGCAAACGAGGATAAATGTAGATGTCTATGGGCCACAGCAACCACTTACCATCAGGTAGACTGTGTGCTCGTTTGGCACCCTATACTATTAAAAAAAAAATCAAAATATTTTTTACGTAGCAGAGCCATGTTACAGCTATATTACTGGTAGTTGTAGAACGAATAGGTCGGCTCGACTGGGGAAGGCCCACGCTCTCACAGAATACCAGCATAAAATAGTAGCTTAACGCTGCTGTGTTTTGTAGGGTGAGTGTACAGAACTGGAGACCTTTTTTTACTGGAAACAAGGCATTTCATCTTAGTCCTCAGGAGTGATAACACATCTGCATTTTGATTTGTAATCGAAGATAGATGTAGATGTCTATGGGTCACAGCAACCAGTTACCATCAGGTGGGCTGTGTTTTTTTTTGTTTTTTTATAAGATAAGGGTGACAAACGAGGACACAGTCCACCTGATGGTAAGTGGTTGCTGCGGCCCATAGACATCTACATCTATCCTCTATTCCAAATCAAAATGTAGATGCGTTGTCACCCGTGAGGACTAAGAAGGAATGCCTCATTTCCAGTAAAAAGGGCCTCCGGCCTCCTGCACTCACCAAGCGTAACGCAGAGGTAAACCTCTACTTCACGCTGGTTTGCTGTGAGGTCGTGGTACCACCCCGGTTTGAGCCGGCCCATCCGTGTGACAGCAAAAGCTGCCGCGTGGCTCTACCACTGTTAAAACTGTGTGCTCATTTGTTACCCTTATCCTATTAAAAAAAATGGGATGACCCATCAAGCAGTTAACTTTTATTTAAAAGAAGTATAATACGGTTTATCGTGTAGTCAGAGAGAAAGAATATCCACTGCCCTATATATCTACCCACGGGATGGGTGTCGTAAGGAGTGACAGAGGAAAACAGAAACAGGAGTTGGGCAGCAGCATCTACCTGATAACAACACAGATCAATATAAACTGCGGTTGCCAACCAAATTTGTCAAAATCCCTCCTATGGAGCAATCTATGAGGAAGGCCTACGTTCAGCAGTGGACTTTTATAGGTTTTAATAGATGGAATAGATAATACCATGGACGCTCCTGCAAGCAACTGCTCCAGAACTGCATTCGACGCAATAGCCTGTTGTTGTAAACTTCTGCAACGATTGAGTCTTGCATGACAAGTGAAACAGACTATTATGGGCCCCTCATTCTCATCCATCTGAAAATACAAAAGTTCATAATAAATATGGAAAACTACTTAAATATATGATTGTAATAAAATCTCTTGGCTACCACAATTCTCTTCATCAACATCATTTTTTACAATATTGAAGTGACAAACAAACTTACAATCCACCTGATGGTAAGAGGCAACTGCAGCCCATGAGAACCTACTTTCATATTTTAACATTAAACTGCTAGTAGTCGCTATTAGCATTACAAACACCTCTTATTTACTCCAAGTAAACTGAAACTACTTACACTAGGAGTAATTTACAACAATAGTTGAATATCAGATTTTAACTTACTACTTTCTTGAGTTTACAGTTTGCACCTTTAACTATTAGGCCACTTTCATTTAGTTTCAAATGGATGTTAATAACAATATACATCCACTAGCAGTTTTAACCTTTTTAATTTAATATCAATAGCAGTATGAAGTAGGATCCAGATGGGTTTGGACATCTAACAATTAGATTATTTTATCTCATAAGGATAGAGCCAGCAGCATTTTCCTCTTAACAGGTTAGAATAATAAAAAAACTTCCCAACTATAACAAATAATAATACCAGAAATGATACTAAAAATATTTAAAACATATTTTCAACCTGGAGAAGCTTCAACACAGATATTCAAAAGATCCTAGATCATTGAGAACATACTACATGAGGAAAGTTTGAATACACTTAAACTTACAACTCAGAAAGATCACAGAGAATGAGGAGACTTGATTGAAACATATAAAACAATATATCGACGATGAAGTGACAAGAACACCTAACTGACATTTTTGCGATTTTAATTTTTTTTCGTAGATAATCTTTAAATAATTGTTTGCGTGAGCAGGCAATATCAGCTAACTTTATATCTTATTTTTTAACCAGTTATTAATAACTGACAATAACTATTAAGCAAATGTGCATCAAATTTTCTGACAATATCATCTAAGAAACTAATATCAATAACTACTAAATAACCCTAACGAAATTATTTCTGTCAAAACCTCCTATCTTCACTTCTGCTAGATACGTCCTTACTTTCACGCAGCTGCCGGCCACCGGCCAACTGAATGGTCTTGCTTGCGTCTAGGAAGGATAATTTCATAGATAAGCTAAAAATGCGTGAGTGAGAGGGATAGAAGGGATCATGCGATATTCGCTTACCTTTTTTCTTCTGTCATTTCGTTTGAATTCGGAGCAAGTTGCAACGTGAAAGTTTGCGGGAAGAGTGTTTTTGTTGTTTTTAATGTAAATAGTGGGATTTTTGTTATACCAGGTAAGTATTTTTTGCCTAAACTAATGCTCATACAGGTAAAACTTAAACAGAAGTGTTTTCTTCTTGTTTTTTTTTTTGTAATTGTTAAGGTTAATGAATACGTTTTTCAAATACCTAAGTAGGTATTTTAAAGTTGATGAATATGAATGATATTAGTATAGAACCATAATAACTTTTATTTCGTTCTAACAAAAAAAATAATGATGTTTAGTCATTAATTATAATACCTAATAATCTTTTTTATAGGCCGACAATACTATTACTATTACCGCTATGGCTCGATTTCTACAAGGAGTGAGAAGCAAAAAGATTCTTAGCGAACTTCAACAAGATAATTTGGTAACAAACCTAATACATTCTACTGCTGAGGAAAATGAACAGATATTTGGACATCAACACGAAATGGTAAAATATTAAAATCATGTGAAGGTTTTGCGTATAAAGTTCTTCCGCTTTGCATAAATAGGAACCTACTTTGTAAGAACACCTTAACTTTACATTTAATAATGATTTATTTATTTATTTTTAGTCTGAAGATAACATCAACACGCCTTTTTCTGGCAATTGCTGTAGTCCTGAACAAAGCGATCTCAACCCTAATGTCAACCCAAAGGAAGCTATCAACGTCAACATCAATGTTTTAAGTCCACCAGAAATCTGTAGCTTTGAACCCACAGAAATCCTTGACAATAATGATTACGAATCTACTTCTTTATATTCAAGCACTCGTCGTCGTCTCATAGTAAGGTCTTGGTCATTATCTGATTTAACGCATGATACAAACAATATCATTAGTTCCCTAAAAAAGTTGCCATCGGTTCCAGCGTTGTTGGACATTACCAGTAATCTTGATTTATTGATTGCGTTTAACAAACCGGATCAGATCGAATCTACATCAGATGATGTTTACCAAATTCCTGAAGAAAGAAATTTTGCTGAAGTATTGGTGACTGGGGACCAACAAGATTGTGGAGATATGGAAGAAGGTCGAAAACGTCGTCACAATGCTGACCCAAAATCTTGGAAAAGGAACAAGGCTTTTTGGAAGTGAATGCGAGGTGAAGAGTATCTAGGATATTCTAAACCAAAAGATAGGAAGTTCCAATAAGATACTGTAAGACAAGCAAGACGGTTAAGACCAACTTACGTCTCCAATTTTTGTAAGAAGAGTGAGGTAAGAGGCTGTGATAGGTTCACTGAGGATTGTCGAAAGGATATACATAGCAATTTTTGGAAGAAAATGACCTGGGATCAACAAAGAGTTTACGTTACGGGGTTGGTGACACGATCTAGTACATCTCGGAAAACTAAATCGGCTAGTGAGCTATCTAGGCGGGAGGGAACTCTATCATATTTTTTGCCGATTGAAAAAGATTGTATAAATAAAGTACAGGTATGTAAACAAATGTTTTTAAACACCTTATCACTGGCATCGTTCACTGTTCAAGCATGGGTAAAAAAGAGTGAGTTTGGCATGACTTCAAACCATGATGCAATATACGATTCTAAAACAAAGACTCCAAGAGCAGAAGTATAAACGAAACTTTCGATTTTAAACAACTTTTTTACAAGTTTGCCAAAATTGCCGTCGCATTACGCAAGAAAAGATACAGCTAAACTCTTCATAGAACCAATCTATCGTTCTCTTTGCGACTTATACAAAGCGTATAAGAAATATTGCACTGAAACTAGTCAACCTTATGTTAGTAGATTTACATTTGAAAAGAATTTTGATGACAAAAATTTGACACTATTTACGCTTAAAAACAATACAATTCTAGTCTAATTTATACAATTCGGGTAATTTAAATGAATCAAATTACCAAATACATATAATTAAGAAAAACAGGGCTAGACAAGAAAAAGAAGAGGACAAGAAAAAAGCAGCTGCTGGGGAATTTATTCTATTGACTATGGATTTAGAGGCTGTGAATGTGTCATGTTTGTCCTTACCTTAGTTTTAGTTTTAGTTTGCTAGTGCTTTGTATTTCAAGACAAAGTTAACGTGCCATAATTTCACTTTTTTAATTTAGTAACCAAGCACTGCAGTTGTTATTGGTTCGACGAAACTTCTGCTGATTTAACGTCTAGCACTTTTGCGACGTTTTTAATTGATTATTTAGAAAGACATTGTATTCCACATCAGTTCCCAATTGTTATTTACTCCGACGGGTGCACATACCAGAATCGTAATTGTGTGCTGGCAAATGCACTGCTCCTTTTGAGCAAGAAACATAACGTAATCATAACGCAAAAATTTTTAGAACCAGGTCACACTCAGATGGAATGTGATTCGGTTCACAGTACTATTGAGCGAAAACTCAAAAATCGGGAAATACATTTGCCTAGTGATTATGTCACGATTACTAAAGAGGCACAAAGCACTAACCCTTATGAAGCAATTAATGTAGATCATGAATTTGTTAAAGATTATGCCCGACCTGAAAATATGCTTTATAAAAGTATTCGACCAGGCCGCAAAGCTGGCGATCCACAGGTTATAGATATCAGAGTAATAAAGTACAATACTATGACAATCGAAGTTAAACTGGGTTTTGACGAACAGTTGACTGCTTTACCGCACAGACCTAGGTTACTAGCTTCGGAAGCAATCTATCCTCCACTACATCCTAACAAAATTCCAACTACTGTAACGAAGTACAACCACCTGCAACAACTAAAAGCAGTATTACCTAAAGATTGCCATAATTTTTATGACACTGCCATTTGTTTGAACCATTTGGTTCATTTAATAAACATAATTTTTGAGACAACATAGTTGTCCCAACATCATCTTCCTGCCCTTTTGTAGCCATTTTTATGTTGTATCAGATATTTGATTGTAATAATTAATATGACAATGTTATTTTCTAACAATCTGAAACATTTTTGAAGTTAATTAAAAATTGTTCTATGAAAATCACGCCTTTTATTATAGAAATTCCTTACTAGAAATTTCTTCTATCTTTGCTATTATAATGTATATTTTCAAAGCCTAGATTGCAATATCACCTATCTACGTCTAAATCAAAAAGTTGATTGTATATACACTAGTCGCACATAGCCCCCTATACCCGCTTCTTATTTAATATATATCCAATAATAGTATTTTTCATACCTTGCGTTTAAAATAAATAAAAAGTTTTTTTCGTTTCCTGTAAAATCATGTTCTGGTAGATAAAGGTTCTTGTCACTTCATCGTCGATATGGACATTATGATCTAGAAAATTTCGATAATCATTATTGTAGTATTCAAACAACATGCAACTTAGAGGCATATCACTTCAATATGACTAAAGCCGTGTCGTGTAAAGAGTTGGGATTCGAAATACCAACCCAAGAGCAATTGAGAAGAAAATTTTAGAAAATAAAAGATATATATTATAGATAATTCTCGTGTAGTACTAGCTGTGTGACAGGCAGGCAGCGAATTGTCGCTGCGAGTAATATTAGCAACGAATATTCGCTGTGTGTGACCGAAGCTTAAGAATCAAAATGCAGATGTGCTGTCACCCCGGAGAACCAAGATGGAACACCCCGCCTCGGTAAAAAGGGTTTCCGGTTCTCTAAACTCACCATACAAATAAGAGCAGCATTAAGGCAAGTTATAATGTATTTCTCCGGCGATAACAACAAATTACCGCAACTTCAATTTGGAATATTTAAAAAATATTAACAAACTTACAAAAGTGTCCGTCAATGTTTTGTATAAATTTTTGAGACCAGTCTCCTTTAGAACAAACATGCGTACATTAACGCATAAACAAATTCTACAAACTTCACTAAAGGGCATTGTTAATTTGCTACATATATATTTATCTATGATTGTTAACAACCGGGGTTAAAAATTAAAAATATTTAATAAAAATAGAAAATACGGTAGACCTGGCATTGACATTCGGTAATAGGCTTGGGTTGTAGGCATGGGACCGATATATCAAAACGTAACTAATAACGTTATGTTATGAAATATCATATCATATCGATAAACCTAAGAACATAACCGTTATCACATATCCAACCAAAATAAAAAATCAACTTTTTTTTTTTTTTTCTTAGTTTGGCAACTTCCAATGGATTCTGCCAGCGTCAAGTATATCATGAGAGTCACACAGTGTATTTACTAGTTTCCGTTTAACTTTATGTTACGAACTTACTTACCTATGTAGTTATTTTCGAATGAATTAACATTATAATATTTTTACAAAATTATTGCTAATATAATAATATGGATATAGGTAAGTGACAAAGGTACTATAGTTTAATGTTATTAATGGATATGAAATCTAATAAAGTTTGAACAAAAGGAGTGAAAACTAAATTTAACAAAGACTTAAGATTTACAGGACGAGGAATGTTATTAGGAAGATAATCGTATAATGAAACGGAGAGGTTAGGGCAGTTAAAAAATTTATGATCGATCGTACCTTCGTCTAATCCACACTCACAAATTGAGCTATCTTTAATCCTAAGTTTTGCTAAAAATACAGGTGTACAAGTGTGTCCCAATCTAATTCTACATATGACAGATGTGCTATGTTTGGTACCATTTCTAAATTTAAAAAACCATGGTTTGGAGGGGATGTCAGGTTGGAGTTCTGCATAATATTTACCGATAGACTTCTGAGTTTTTTTCCAAAGAGAGTTCCAATCTGCCATCTGATGGATTTTCGCAAGAGAAATAAGGTCATGAGTATATGTTATATGATGCATGAGGGTACCAGAAGTAGATGCTTGCTTTGCTAAGGAATCAACAAATTCGTTGTCACGTATGCCACTATGACTTGGCAGCCAAGCAAGTTTCAAGTTAAGACCTTGACAAAAACACCTATACAGTGCACCTTTTATTTCAAAAATAATTGGGAATTTCGATTTACTTCGAAACGGGTTAGATGAAATGCTTTGTAATAAACTATATGAGTCAGTAAAAACAATACATTTGTTAATTTTATGTGCTTCTATAAATAAAATTGCTTCTAAAATAGCAACCGCTTCACCAGTGAAAATTGAAGTAACATTTGAATTTTTAAAATTTAATATAATTTTATATTTTGGTATCCAGACAGCTGAACCTACATAACTATTCTCGGAGAGTTTGGATGCATCAGTAAAAAGGGTCAACCAGCCTTCCCATTTTTCACGTAATATACTTAGAAATTTTTCTTGGGCTACAGGGGAATTTTTAGTCACACCAAAATCTAATATAACTGGAGGGTGATAACATAAAGCTTCAAATGGATGTACGAATAGAGGATTAAACATACTTTGAAATATGGGAAATTTGAAGGTAAGTATCTTTTGGTAGCTTTTAAGAATACATGGAACGTCTTTATGAGTCCAGTAGTTGTTATTCTTCAAACTAGAGTTTAAAGAATGCAGTTTAGAAAGCAGTGGGTGTGAAGATATCTGAAATATTCGATATATAAAGCGATCGGCAAGATACTGTCTACGTAGGTAAAGAGGAGGTTCGCCACATTCAACTTGTAGAGCATTTGATGGAGATGATTTCATGGCCCCTAAAATAATTCTTAAGCACTTAAGTTGGATTTTATCTAAAAGGTTAAGAGCTTGTTTATTACAAGGTTCCAAAAGAAATGTACCGTAGTCAAAATGACTACGGATTAGAGCGTTATATAAAAGTTTTAAACAATATGGATGAGATCCCCACCAAACACCTGTCAGTGAACGAAGGATATTTACATTCTTTTCGCATTTTTGGGCAATGAACGTTAAATGAGGAATACCTGTCATCTTAGAATCCAGAAAAACACCTAGAAATTTAACATTATCACATGTCGGAATTATTTGATTTTGTACTGAGATTGAAATATTGGGACAAAATCTTTTTCTAGAGAATATTACTACTCTACTCTTTGTAGGTGATAAGGAGAGACCGTTATTAGTAAGCCAATTATTTAAGTAGAACAATGCAGAGTTAAGACGATAACTCAATTCTGTAAAGTTCTTAGAAGAGTAATAAAGAGTTAGATCGTCAGCATATTGTAAGACTTTACAAAAGGAGTTAACAGAATGTTCGAGATTATGGGTGTATATGTTAAATAAAATAGGACTTAAAACAGAACCTTGTGGGAGGCCTCGCCATATCTGTCTAGGAGGGAGCAGTTTTCCTTGAACTCTTATACATATTGACCTAACTGAAAGTAAATTAAAAATAATGCGAGTAATTCTATGGGGAATATCCAAAAGAAACATCTTTTCTTTGAGTAAAGGGAGGACAACGTTATCATAGGCTGATGATACATCTAGAAAAACAGCACCAACCGATTCTTCTCTGGAAAAAGCCGAACGTATATCAGAGGTAAAAACAGACAAGCTATCAAGCGTGCTCAGTCCCTTTCGAAATCCAAACTGTGTTTTGGCCAAGAGATCTTTATTTTCAACAAACCATTCTAGACGGTTTTTAATTAAATGCTCCATTATTTTGCACAAAGTTGATGATAGTGCTATAGGGCGGTAACTATTACCATCACTAGGATTTTTGTCTGGTTTTAAGATGGGGATAATAATTTGCATTTTCCAATCATTAGGGACTATTCCCGTAATAAATATGTCATTGATTAAGTCTAGAAAAATTTGCTTAGATTTTGATCCTGCGTTAGAAATAAATGAGTATGGAATTCCGTCTATACCTGGTGACGAATCTTTAAGGTGTTGAACAACCAATTCAAATTCCTCATTGGAGAAAAGTTCATTAAAACGTGAATTATTAATGTTTACTCCAGGTTGGGTTATCAATGGTTCACAATAACATAATTCCTCAAAGGAGGGAACCCAAGGAGGAGCAAGCTTATCGGCAAATAAATTGTACCAAATAGAGGAATCACATTGCGGTGAATAATTATCAACGTTATATGATCCGCGGAATTTCTTTATATTCTTCCATAATATAGAAGCAGGAGAGCAGGGTGAAAGATTTTCACAAAACCTAAGCCAACCCGTCTTTTTTTTATGTGCTAACAGTTTTAATGTATGGGCAGCTATTTTTTTATAATTTAAAAAGTTTTCATTAGACATATTGGAGGAGTATAGACGTTCAGCTTGTTTTCGTTTTTTAACACTGAGTGTGCATTCCTCATCCCACCATGGGGGAGAACAAATTTTGGTAGGAGGCGAAATTTTTCGTGTGAAACATAAATCTGCGGTGAGTAAAAGATACTTAACAAAGTTTTTGTAGTTTGTCTCTATATCATTAGAGTCACTGTTATAAAATTTAGAGAGTACCGAATCTGATAACGATGAGAATTTAGCCCAGTCCGCTCTTTTTATATTATATTTTAACAGCGGCGAAAAAACTCTGATTGGTATTGAGCAGTTGGCTAATGAAAGTAATATTGGGTAATGATCACTACCATAAGAGTGAGATAAAACTTTCCAGTTAATACGTGATGTAAGATTTGGGGTACATAAAGTTAGATCAACAACACTTTTAGGATTTTGAGATGGATATACTCTCCTTGTTGGTGATCCATCATTTAAAATGCAAATATTAAATTCATCAAACAATTCCATTAAGAGATAGCCAAAAGTATCATTTCTGCATGAGCCCCATGAGACATGGTGAGCATTAAAATCACCTAGTAATATAAAAGGAGGAGTAATAGATGAAATTATTAAGTTTAATTCAGTGATCAGTGATGGATGTGGGTGAGGAATATAGAAAGACAGGTATGTGATATCATTACATTTGCAAGCAACAACGTTTAATTCCTCACTATGTTGAGGAAGTGAAACCTTGATAAATGAATGTAATCTATTAATTAGGATTACAGCACCGGCGTAACCATCTTTCCTGTCTTCGCGAAGGCAGGCAAAACCAGGAATACGGAAGTGAGATTTCGGGTGAAGCCAAACTTCTGATAATGCTACAAGAAACGGGTTGTATTTGTTGATAAGATAGATTAAATCGCCTTTTTTATGCTTAATACTGCGACAGTTCCATTGAAGAATCGTAGCCATGCTTATTTATATTATTTAAGAGCGTCGATAGTTTCTCAAGAGACTGGGTTAAATTTGGAGGTAAACAGTGGTCGTCAAATTTCGAAATGATACACATAAGTGTGGATATTAGTAAGTCTATTAAATTTTCATTTGGAGAAGTATGGTTTTGCTCATTATCTTTAGGGTAAGCATTTCCATTAGGAAGAGAACTTCTTGGGGTTTGGATCATGGATTCATGGGCTGTATGGTCATACCCATGATCGGATGCTGGAGATCGTGGTTTCCTATTTATATAGAAATCAACTTACCAACGTACGAAACGTAAAACGCAATCTGTAACGATATGCCAAAAACCGAAAACGGCCCAAAACCAAAACTAACCGATGTCCTTTGATATTCGTTGTTTCTCGTTCTAGCGACAGTATCATGAATGCGTATGAAAGAGATGAAACGAATATGGATTTCGTTGTGATGTTTTGGTTGTTATCATAAAAGGTGCACGTAGTGAAATATAATTAAAAGAGTCTTAACAATAAGGTCGAATTTTAAATAGTAAAAATTGCCTAATTTTTTAAGTTTGTGTAGTTGTGAGATTTGCCAGATTTATATGATCTTTAGAACATTAGGCACTAGACTTAGATTTGTTTAATCACATTATATTCGGTTTAGGCAACTTTTGTTTATGTGAAAGTTAGTTGTGAGTGCTAGCCTAGTACCGAATGTCATTGCCTGGTCTGCCGTATTTTTATATTATTAAATATTTTTAACCCCGGTTTTTAAAAATGGCCTTTAGTGAAATTTGTAGAATTTGTTTATGCGTTAATGTACGCATGTTTGTTAATATTTTTTAAATATTGCAAATTGAAGTTTCGTCAACATAAATACGCTATTACTGGAGATGTAGAAAAAATGTATATTTTATTGCACA